TTATTCTTCACTAAGCTTAAAAAGGATGCATCACAACTTTTTCTGGTGTGTTCATTACATACATGGATAGATAGAGAGAGAGAGAGAGAGAGAGAGAGAGAGAGAGAGAGAGAGAGAGAGAGAGAGAGAGATAATGTGATGTGTAAATGTGTAAATTAACCAAATCACATTCAAACTTGTTAAATTGATAGTCAGCACACAAAGTTCATTTTCCATATGTCCTAGTTCAAAGTTCAGCTCACACATTTTAAATTGAACTAGTTGCGTTCATAATCAATTAATGATTTTTTTTTTCAACTCAGTTCATCGTTTGAAATAGTAAAAGTAGTTCTTTTTTTGTTTGTTTGTTTGTTTTCCTCCAATATGTTTCTGCGTAGAGCTACCCTCTGGCATACCGGCATTTCCCCGGAATTCTGTTTGAGTCCTTTTTTGGGGTTTTTTTCCCTTGCGTGCATCAAATTTTGCACGGTGCAACTGTTGTGGCCAGTATTGACAAATAATGGCTTTTTTTATGCCGAATTAAGGCGTTCACGGTGCGTTTAGCTGGGTTTATTGTCGAGAAAACCTGTCAATCTTGAACAAAAATGAACTGCCGTTCAAAAACCATTCATTGGCCCTGGAATGAGCTCGTTCATAAAACTGTTCACGAAGAAAAAATATGTTACGTTCAGTTCAAACTATGGAAGAGTTCATGGACTCGTTTAGGTAACAGACCAACTGCCACCTTTTGAAGTGACCCCCAATTAAAGTTAAGCTATTCAAGTAGACTTTTCCTGACTTTGTGTTTTTGCTTTTTAGGAGAAGTCTGAAGATTTTGCGCTAAGGCTGATTGGTATTTGGAACTGTGCATCGTTTCCTCTAATTTGACCGTGGCCTCAGTTCAAATTGAACTCAAACAGCCCCAAAACATGATAAGGCTACCCCCTTGCTACGCTATACGATAGGTTTGGTGTTTATTTGGCTGTATGAGCAGTGTTGTGTTTGTGTCAAACAAAAACCAATGGAATTATGGCCAAAAAGTTCAACCTTAATTTCATCTGACCAGAACACATTTTTCCATGTGCAGTCTGGAGATTTCAACTGTGTTTTTGCAAACTGTAGCCACGCTCGGATGGTTTTTCTTAGCAATATCACGTTTACGTCATCCTACTCTACCCCGTAGCACTGACATATTTATGAAGAAGACGGGTGATTGTGGTGAGGTGAACTAAATAGCCAGTACTTCCCAGAACTTTTTTTTTCAGCTCCTTCAATGTTGATGTCAGCCTTTTGGCAGCCTCCCTGGCCAGTTTGCTTCTTGTCTTTTCATTAATTTTGGAGGAGCAAATGGTTCTTGGCAAAAACATTGATGTGCAATAGTCTTTATTGTGACCCAATGTCAATTTAATACATTGGAAATTCTTTCTGTACCCTTTTCCCAACTTATACCTTGGAACAATGAAATCCCTCTGAAGCTGTGAAAGCTCTCTGTGGACCCGTGCTGGATGACGTGACGAAACAATGTCAGAAAAAAAGCACAAGAGGCCAACATTTGTTTTGGGTTCATCGGAGGCCTTTTAAAATGTGGCAAGTGTGTGCTGACTCGCATTTGACATGAATCTAAATGTGATTGATTAATTCTGAACTTCCCTGGTTATGAAACCACATCATTTCTTCGTCTCTCGATAATGTACTGTATTTGGTGGTACTTTGAGATGAGAGTTTATTTCAATCACGCTCGAAAGTCGAAACACATGGATCTCAAATCATCTTTTCCTGTTGAAATGAATGGAAATGTTTCCCCCCCAAAACAAGAAATGTTGTCATATGTATTTCATCCATCCATTTTCCGATCTGCTTTATCCTCACAAGTGTCGCGGGGGGTGCTGGAGCCTATCCTAGCTGTCTTCAGGCAACAGGCGGGGGACACCTTGAACCGGTTGCCAGCCAATCGCAGGGCACACACAGAAGAACAACCATCCGCGCTCACACTCACACCTAGGGACAATTTTGAGTGTTCCATTAACCTGGCGCATGTTTTTGGAATGTGGGAGGAAACCATAGTACCCGGAGAAAACCCATGCAGGCACGGGGAGAACATACAAACTTCACACAGGAAGGCCGGAGTCGGAATCGAACCCTGTGCCTCTGCGCTGTCAGGCCGACGCGCTAACCAGTCGACCACCGGGCCGCCCTAGAACATGTTACTGTCGAGGAATTTTTTTACTTGACTTCCCCTGTAACGGTGGTTTGCTGTTCTGCAGTTTTGTGCCGTCCTTGAATGGTATTTTTTATGCACGAGATCTCTTTAGACTGAGGATTGGGGGTGATATATATCATTTTTTTTTGCACTCTTTCCCTTCTTTATTGCTAAGTAGTTCCATAACACAGTACATTTTCTTTCTGAGGTTTTGCCCACTTCAACAGCCCACACAAATGATTATATGGCAAGCCATAGCATACGATATGTTATAACTACTCCATTTAACTTGGTGACTCAAATTGTCATCCTCATGCTGCGCCTGAGGCCATGACTATGTGAAGATCCATGGGAGCCCCTAGCGAGAATCAATGACTTTGAATTCAATCCTGACTAATGTAATATTGACCAGGTCATGCAAACGGTGAACAACAAACCATGACAATAACAGCTGGGTGGTCACTTCTGCGCAAGAATTTCCTCCTATTCTCCCACAAATTTTCTATATCAGTGTTTTGCTTTAAAGCACTGTGGAAGCACAACTTAATACCAGATAATGAATGGAGCGTGATACAAGTTCAAGGGTAATGCAATTACCTCCTGCCCATGAGGACTCAAATTGTAGGGTCAGGTGAACGCTGCAAGATGCCTGGTAATTTAGGCAACAAACCAACAAGGAGTATAAGTCTAAACATGGTATGAGTCAAAAAATGTTGAAAACATTTGCAATTTGTCAAACAAGAGCAATTAAATGGCCAAGTTAATAAAAGCATTGCAAGTAAGTGCAGTGATTACGTAGGATATACTTCATTCATTTCAATCATTTTGACTATATGTTAGACCAGTGGTGTCAAACTTTGAGCCAAGGCACACTTCTTTCATTGGAAAAATCTCGCGGCACACCACTAGCTGAAAATGTCAAAAAAAAAACAAACAAACAAACGCTTATTTGAATAATTAATGTGTTATATTGTTACTATAAACGTTTTTAGCATTGAAGAATGACATTATAACAGCTTGAATTGGAATCAAATGAACACGAAGAAAAAAGTATTTTCACATCTTTCATATTTATTGTTTCACCGTCGTCCTGCATTCATGCATCACAAATTTGCTTGTCTCTCGTCTAAACACAAGGCAATTGGCTAGCTGTTGTTGCTCCCTAGCGGTATGGGAGGGTACAACACGATTAATTTCTGGGCGATAGACTGCACAGGCATACAAATTGAATATTTTCCTGCGGCACACCTGACAATGTCTTGCGGCACACTGGTGTGCCGCGGCACAGGGGTTGAAAAACACTGCAGTCGAAAACAACATTGTTTTGATTGGGGAAGAAAACAGCAGTCTCAGTCTGTCACGGGGATAGACCCAACGTAGCAAATGATATGAAAGCGCCAATCAATGTTTCTTGAGACCAAAACAAAGGAAAGAGATGATATTTTGGTGATTCATAGCACAGTATGGTATAATGTTAATGGTTCGGCCCACTTGACATCTACCGAGTCCGTATGTGGCCCACAATGTGAAATGAGTTTGACACCCCTGTGTTAGACTGTCAAGGGCGGCCTGGTGGTCCAGTGGTTAGCGCGTCGATTCCTGCTCCGGCTTTACTATGTGGAGTTTGCATGTTCTCCCTATGCCTGTGTAGCTTTTCTCCGGGTACTCCGGTTTCCTCCCACATTCCAAAAACATGCATGGCAGGTTAATGGAAAACTCTAAATTGTCCCTTGCTGTGAGTGTGAGCGCAGATGTTTGTCCGTCTATGTGTGCCCAGCGATTGGTTAGCAACCAGTTCAGGGTTCAGCGGTTCAGATAACAGATGGCTGTTTTCATTGTGTTTTCCATATAAAGTGTTTTTTCTGAATAAATAGAGAAAAGATAAGAGTAAATTGCGAATCGTTTCATGAAATAGTAAGGAAAAATACTTCAGTATGTTGAATGACAGCAGCCCCCATCCCTCTTGACAGCTCCCCCGCACAACACTTTTGCTGTAGCGCACGAGTCAAGTGTTTGGTGGACAAAAGAAACACATTTTCTGCTTAACCCAGCGGTGACAAACTATTGAACATTCCCAGCTACTTGATTTGTTTTTCAAGAGTTTAAAGTTGTGACGCCTCAGTATTTTTTTTCATAATTTTATCCATTTAAATGTGATATTGATCAGTTTCATCTTTCCCAATGTACGTATAACAAGATTACAATATATTATGGGATTACAGCTATCTATGTATCTATCTATCTATCTATCTAACAAAATATATATTGAGATACGTATCGAATTGTCTTTTATTGGAGAGATATATAGAAGGAAATGGCACGTCCCTTCAAATGTATGGAACGTGACAACAAAAAAGTCAAAACTCTTGAAATGAGCCACACCATATCGAATTGAATCGTAATCCCACTGAGTCGAACCAAATTGAATCGTTTCACTTTGAAATCGAACCATCCAGAAATCGTTTCGCGCTCCACATATCAAAAACCGCATTGAACTTTTGTGGAGAGATGCACACTCCTTCTATTTAGGCTATAATATTCAATGTAACGGCCCTCAAAATCTGCGCATCCCCTGAAAAAAAATATGTATTTTGCATATTTAAAGGTTTTTCAATAAATTATTGCAATTACTTCCCCTATGTAACTAATTCCATTTATGAAAGAGTTAACCAGTAACAAATTCAATTAGTTTTTGGGGAATGAGAAAAATAAGTAACTGTCACTACTTTTTCTTTTTAAGTAATTGCACACACATTTTAGTACAATCCTTAGAAAAAAGTGTTTTGTCTGAAGAAGACTATTTTAATCTCATAATACTTACTCAATTGATTTAGTAAGCTATTCATATGCATCTTGTGGGAGCTGGAACAAACCCAGAAGTCTGCAGACACTGAGGAGGAACAACATACATGCAACAGCAAATAAGCAAAGCACAGTCACAGGACTCCACAAAACATGTCAAGAAGCAAGCAACACTGAAAACAACACATCAAAAATGAGCGGTCACTGGCCTGAGGGCATAGGTGTGAAATCCATGTACATAAAGTGAAAACCTTGCCACAGTTTGGCTTTTGCCACAAGTGCTTCTCCTGAAGCGGCAGGTAAACAAGCTCCCAAGGTTGAGTAGAAGCACCTGTGGCGAAAGACAAACTGTGGCAGAAGTTTTCACTTTCTGGATCTGTTTTTTTTTTTTTACACCTCCGCATGGGTGTTTTTAGGGTCAGTTAAAGATTTGCTTTGATGCTGCCCAGAAGACGAAATATACGGGCGGGGGGGACCCAGTTCTTCTGGTGAATGACTATCAAGCAATGGATGTCACATTTGTGGGTGCTTTGTGGAATGATCGTGTATAGTAGAATATTGTATTTATTTATTTAACAGAGATGGATGCTTTCAAATTGTTTGTGGTCGCTTCAGAGCTCGGTACTTCCCTTTTGTAGGAAGTCCATCGAATCTGTTCAATGCATCACTGTCTTCCCCAGTTACAGTATGTGCATATTTTTTTGAAACAGTGGAGAGAGTGTCTGTTAAGATGCTGAAGTTAAAAAAAAAAAAATCAGGACAACACAAATGTAACAAAAGCCTCTAGTTTTGCAAATGCGGGACACCAAACATTTCACTTGTGATACATTTGTAGTCAATGTTGGGAACCACTTCACTCTTCCTCAACAGAATGTACGGTGTGTTTGGGGAAAACTTTCTTGGCTGCATATTTATAAAGCTGTACTAAGATCATGTTTGATATTTAGTTATGTGCCATGCCTACGTCCATCCGTATGCATTGAATAACAATCCACTCTAAGTCAACCACTGAAACGCTTTAGGGTAAACACGTGAAAACAAATAATTTACTTACCTGAATGATTATCTGTTGTAAAAGGAAGGTTAAGTTCATGTGGCGGGTTGCTGCATCATATATCCTCTCACGTTTGCTGTCACAACAGGAAGTGTGGCTAGATTCTCTCGCTCTCTGTTTCTCTCGCAGGTTTCAAGTGCTGGATTCAGTTTCCCCCGCAGCTGCTGTGAAAGCAGTCTCACTAGTGGGATGCATGTTTCATGGGTTGTCTTAGGAACCAGCTCCACCAGCCGTGCGTCGGTGGATGGAACTCCACCCACGGGGAGGGAGGCTGGGGGGGAAATAGCTTGATGACTTGATTGCTGGTTGAAGAGTTTCGCGTTGGATGGATGCAGATTTTCACTGGCATATGGCAGCAGGGATTTATTAATACCTCCAAACATATATTTTGTGATGACTATTGGTACTGCATTACAAACTCTCCTTGGAGCTGCACGTGTTGACGAGATGTGTTCAGACACAAGACAGCACTGAGTGGGGGAAGTGTGTTTGTTTGTGTGCGCGTGTGTGTGCGCGTGAAAGTGTGTGTGCGTGTGTGTGTGTGTGTGCGCGCGTGTGTGTGTGTGTGTGTGTGTGTGTGTGTGTGTGTGTGTGTGTGTGTGTGTGTGTGTGTGTGTGTACGCATGTTAGTGTGCAACAATGATGAGCTCAGGCCCAAAGCATATACTCCTCCTCAGACTGTGTGGGAAATGAATAGATTCAAACACAAAGCACAAACAAAACAGGCAAACAGCAAACTGGTTTACAAAACTGTTAGACGTTGCATATTTTAGACCGGCACTGATTACCGTAGTTTTCATGCATGTAATAATAGAGGGACACTTTAATGGGTGAACAACAATAACAATAATAATAACAATGCATTTTATTTGAAATCGTCACATTTACATTTCATAGTCGCTCTTGTTTTGTCATAGAACTTTGTAAATATTTTCATTATTCCTTTTTATCAATCTTGATCTTTGGTTTCGCGTTATTAGAGTTTTGATATTTTGTTCTCTAGTACAGTGGTGCCTCTATTTACGAAATTAATTGGTTCTGGAAGAAATTTATTCACTAGAAAATTTTGTAAGTGGAGACGCGTTTTCCATGGAAATGCCCGAATTCGTTTCA